CATGCTGCAGGTCGAGCCTCCTCTCGTTTGAGAACTGGGGGTGTTGCTCCCTCAGCTAAATAACTGCTAGCTGTTCCTCCATTGGAACATGCTGTAGGTTGAGCTCCCTCTCGATTGAGAGCTGGATGTTTGCTCCCTCAGCTACAGATTTACTGCTAGCCACTCCAGCATATTAAGCTTTAGATCGATTTGAGACTTCGCAAACATAACGTTTTTGGGATGCACCATTTCCATCTATGGGCCGCTCTTTCAGAGTGCCACGAGAGCCCCTTAGAACGGTATTGTTTAAAATCCATGTTATGGTAAGTGTGCACGTGAATGCTTTGTACACTTTCTAAAATCCACACTGTGGTAAGTTCGCACGCTAATACTCTGCGTTCTTTTCTAGAATCCTGTATGGTAAGAGCTACTCGCAGCAGCATCGTGCTCTTTCTGAGTGGTTTAAAACCCCCGTTCCGCCTTGGGCACCACTCCATCTATGTATCCTCTGGATACCTACGTTAACAGGGTGTTGCTACTAGGGGTCTGTTGAGACAGTTCCTTCAGCACATACAAAGAGAAACGTGTGGTAGCCCCTGTGTGACAGGCCAAGACTAGTATGATTCTAGGCTCTTGGTCGTATTCCCTTACGTCCTCTAGGTTTCTTGCCATGCTGCGGACGCAAGCTTCAGACGAAGAAGTGGATGATGTGTTCTCCCAGCGCCTATTTATACTATAGTCGTGCCGGTAGTGACGTCATGGCTTTCGCCGGCCAACGTGTTGTTGGTGTTTTTTCAATGTATGCTTCAGACACGGGTCACGACGAGGCGTTCCCCATAGCGACCCCTAGAGGACGCAGTGTCTCGTTCCCTACTCAGGGAACCATGGTTACATAAGTAACCTGAGACATTTCTCCAGTGCTTTAAATTTTACAGCTGACAATTATGGTAAAAAAAAAACCTCCATTGCTTTCTCTGTAATATTCTCAGACCTATTTCTAACATATACTTTTTAAGTAACTAAATACATTTAAGGTAGTAAATCATTTGAGATAAAAACCAATATGAGCAATGCATCAGTCTTAGTCCTCTTGGACCTAAATGCAGCATTTGACACATGATCATTTAATTTTACTTAATAGACTGGAAATTGGTCTCTCCGGTAATGTTCTAAATCGGTTCAAGACATATATTGCAGAAAGGTAATAATTTATTAATATAGGTGACTATGTATCAAATAAATATTAAATACTGTATGATGTTTCTGAAGAATCAATTCTTTGGCTACTTTTATTTTCATTATACGTTATACTTCTGGTCAGTATAACTCAGAAACATGGGATGAATTAACATTTTTATGCTGATGATATACAATTATACATTTCAGTTGATTTCAGAGACACTGTTGCATGAAGATAAAACTGAAACTTTTATTGAGGGCACTGAGCATGAATGAGGAAGGATAGAAGCTGGATTATGCACCTTTATTCTACAAACTAAGATAGAACTAAAAAAACTAGGTGTAATAGTCTCGCATTAATCAAGTGACAAAAACTTCATTTATTGTTTTTGCTCATCACGATTACTGTAATGCTATATCACATATACACATATGCTATATGTAGCTAAGCTGCAATTGATACAAAATGCAGCAGTCAACGTACTAATGAAATGAAGGAGATACCATATTAATAGTTTTAATACGATTATACTGGTTGCCAGTTCAAGAAAGGATTGATTTTTATGTTAATATGTTCAAAATCATAGTTATTTTGGCAAACTATACAATAAATCCTAAGTGAATCTCTGGTGCTTCTTTTAGCCACTATACCCCAACATTTGGAACTGTCAACCAATTTATATTAGACAGGCTTCAATCTTTCAGATTTTCAAAACACAAGTCAAGAAAAGTATTTTAAAAATATGTTTTTAGTATAATGATATCAGTATTCATTGCTGTGTGAAGTTGCAGTGTCAGTGTGGAACGTTTTTATTTTTGTTTGTAGTTTTTCTTTTTTTTTTTTTCTTTTAAGCAATATGTGCTGCATTTTATGTATTAAAAATGCTAAACAAACGTTGGTTAATGTTTTACTATTATATCATGACAGAAAGCACCATAATGGAGACAACAACAGAAAGTACAACCACTGGCACCGCAACTTCAGAAAATACAACAGCAGACACTACAACAACAGGAAGCACCACAACTGAGATAACATCATCGGAAAGCACTACAATGACAGAAAGCACCCCCACCGGTACCACAACTTCATAAAGTACAACAACGGAGACCACAACGTCAGAAAGCACCACAACGGATGGAACAACAGAAATTAACACAAGCGGTTGATAGTTTTAATGTCTCCTTAAAATTAATTCTGTACATAGTGGCTCCAGAGAAAGTTAAAATAGGATCCATATCTAATAAATTGCAGTGGAAGAATAAACGCACCTGTCAGGTCATCGTGAGATTCTAATGAGTAACATTCAGGTATATACAAAAAGACAAAAACACCCTGAAAGACAATTATTTTATTTTAAAAAAATGTATTAATTAAAATGGTAACAATCCCAGAGTGCTTTTTTATATTTTTTATTTTTATTTTAAATAATTAATCTTACAATTTGTTAAATCATCCTTCTGTAACCATGTGTGAAGATTTTGCTACATATTTAATAATAATAATAATACTATAAATTAAGTCTTCTGTACATTATACTGATAACATTTCTAAAATGATTAATTCACTTAGAATGAAAATTCTGTCATCATTTACTCACCCTCCACTTGTTCCAAACCTGTATGAGTTTCTTTCTTCTGTTGAACACAAAAGAAGATATTTTGAAAAATGTTTGTATCCGAACATTTGATAGTCACCATTGATATATATATATATATATATATATATATATATATTACAAGGCATTATTTTCTTATCTTACTTTGAATTTGCTATAAGAAATCAAATACACTGCTGGACAATAATCAATCATTTGTAATCTATAATTTTT